GAACTGCTACATGTCTACAAAATTTCGGTTGGCTTTCTTCTGTTATTCAAAAGATTTATATAAGTTTACATGTTACTGTTATTATTCTTATTATTATACAGAACTGCTACAGTTTATATGTCTACACAATTTCGGTTGGCTTTCTCCTATTATTCAAATGAATTATATACATTTACATGAAATTCCGTCTGAGGTCAACTGCACGTAGTCTGTAGTTAAGTCGATTATTTCAGTCGCAAGACATATATACCATAAATCTTACTGCTACACTGGACACCTATTCATATTATTTACCAACTTTTCTTAATATTTGCTGCACAGTTTCTATGCACTACCTCTTGAGTTGAAATAGACTGTTATCTCATGCTCATATTTTTATTTATTAAAGCTGGGCACTGGACACTTACCTATTCATATCGTTTACCGGCTTTTCAGAATATTTGCAGCTGCTGCGCAGTTTCTATGAATTTTCTCTTGAGTCGAAATAGAATGTTTTCTCATGCAATTTTCATTTTTTTTTTCCTAAGCGATACCTTAAGCCACATTTCATTCAGTGTTTAGGGACAAACAAGCTATTGACCGATCAACGCTCTCTAAATTCACACGCTCTTCACTATTTTGTCAAATATTTGCAATTATGCCTCCCAAACGACAAGTGATTGCCCCATCTACACCTAGAGCACACAAGAGAAGGGCATTAATGCTTCAGAAACAGATGAGCAACATGAGGTAAGACTGGAAACCATTCGAGTGCGCACTGCCGAATCCCGTTCGTCTCAATCAGACAAGCAACGGCAGGAAAGATTAGAAAACGTTCGGGTGCGCACTGCTGAAGTCTGTTCACTACTGGTAATCTGGGGATCTTTTAACCCAGATTAGGAAGGTTGGGCAGCAGGCATAAAGCTAATCCAAAACACCCCATTGATACTCGCTCCGAGGATCCTGTGCCATAAGTGAAACACTCGTAGCTCACAGGTATCACACGACGCGACTCAAGGTCGCCACGTGGGTAAACGAAACACGTGTATCCACGTCCAAACTAACAAATGGAGCAAAAGTGCAACGGCCATTCTGGCAGTTTAGTTTGTGTCGACCTGCTTAAAAAAAAAAAAAAAACTGGGTGAAAGAAGTGTCAACGTCAGTGCTCGTAGCGTCCACTGTGACCTGACGCATTATGTGAGCCAAGATCAACCAAATGTCTGTGTAATGGCCCCAGAAGTCACCCTCATTTATTTGAGCCCGACCCTGGGAATGGGAACTTAGGACATTACATCCACCAGGTGTGCGTCGCCCTTTATTACGACAACTGACTGCCTTCGTTAACATGACAATAAATCGACTCCAACAGTTGGTGTCGGCTTGCCAGTTGCTTTGGCACGAAGGTGTGAGAACCTTGACGACTTGGGTTTCGGAATGCCGACTTCCTACAAAATGTTCACTACTACCACTGCCCGACGCTGATTACAAATTTCTTCAGATTTTTTTTTATGTTAAACACTGATCAACAAGTTGATCAACGTTGTCGATTCAATAAGGGGACACAACGTGAAATAGTCTCTGCTTTACAAACTTTATTCGATCAACACAAGTGCCATGAATTTATATTCATATCGATTGATAGCTCGTGAAAACGCTAACAATCATATCTTGAAATGTCGATAATTGTTCCACCAATACAATGTCGATATGTATGCGAAAATTGAAACCGAGCGACTCCTCTATATTCGATTAAATCAAACTAAGTTGCGTACAGAGAAGTACATTTAGTTACGTGTTGCAATTGTTAATGATGGCAATGTGAATCCCAATGAGTTGGGGAAAATGGTCATATTACCAGCCACATTTACAGGGGGTCCACGACACATGCATGAGTATGCACAAGATGCAATGACATATGTTCGCGCACATGGCCGTCCAGATTTATTTAATCATGTTTACATGCAATCCTACATGGGATGAAATCAAAGAACTTTTGTTACCTGGACAATCATCATCGGATCATCATGATATATCAGCGCGTGTGTTTAAACAAAAATTGAAATCTTTAATGGATTTCATTGTCAAGCATCGTATTTTTAGAGAGACCCGCTGTTGGATGTATTCCATCGAATGGCAAAAAAGAGGATTGCCACATGCACACATTTTGATTTGGATCATCAACAAAATCACACCAGATCAGATGGATCAGGCTATCTCATCAGAAATACCAGATGTCAACATTGATCCAGACTTATTTGAAGTTGTCACCAAAAACATGTTTCATGGTCCATGAGGCTAACTCAACAATATTCATCATGCATATCTGATGGAAAATGCATGAAACGAAACCCAAAAGACTTGCATGCCGAAACTATCACTGGCAATGACGGATTTTCTCTCTATCGTCGACGATCAGGTCAAGATGGCGGAAAATCCATCACTCTAAAAGTGCGAAACAATGATGTTGAAGTTGATAATCATTGGGTTGTACCGTATTCGCCGTTACTCTCGAAGACGTACAAAGCGCACATCAATGTCGAGTATTGCAATTCGGTGAAATCAATAAAGTACATTTGCAATTATGTCAACAAAGGAAGTGATATGAGTCTTTGGAGTGGGACATGCAGCTGCATCTATCGATCAAATTGAGCAATATCAGCTGGGGCGCTACATTAGTAGCAATTAAGCAGTATAGCTTATTTCGTCATTTCCAATTTATGAACGACATCCAGCATTTGTTCATTTGGCAGTGCACCTTGAAAATGGACAGCGCGTATAATTCACTACAGAAAATGCACATGCACGAGCATTGTTACCACCGCCAACCACGTTAACTGCATATTTCTAATTATGTAGAGATGATATGTTTGCAAAGACACTACTTTACTCTGAACTGTCAACATACTACACGTGGAATGCATCAGCCTAAAAAAAGTTTCAGCGTCGCAAGCAAGGTCAAGCAGTTGAAGGGCATCCTAATTTATATTCTACTGATGTGTTAGGCCGTCTGTACACTTTTCATCCAAACAATGCAGAATGCTTTTACTTGCGATTACTTTTAATCAACAAACTTGGACCGACATCCTTCCAGGACTTGACAACAGTTTATGGTAAAGTATGTGCTACTTACTGTGAAGCTTGCCAAGACTTAAATCTTCTTGAAAATGATGCACATTGGGACTCTTCACTCCCTGATGCTTCGAATACTGCTCGACCACAGCAAATACGCACATTATTGGCAATAATATTAACAAAATGCTTCCCATCCAATCCAACAGAGCTTTGGGAAAAATACAAAGACTACATGAGTGAAGACATCCTACATCGCTGGCGTGAAACAGAGCAAAATAAGGACCTTCAATTCACACCAAATGTATATAATGTCTAAAATCATCAGTTTTAAGGCGACTCGCCTTTGTAATGACCATAAACAAATCACATGGACAATCGCCACAAGTGTATAGACTACATTTGGAACATCCATGCTTTTCACACGGACAGCTATATGTGGCCTGTTCACGCGTCGGAAAACCTTCTGATTTATTCGTGTATTCGCCAGATGGAAAAACAAAAAACATTGTATACCCGAAAGCACTTCAGTAAACAGGCGTGAAATGAAGCAAGATTTCTTTTCTTTCTTTTCCATTTAGCCAAACTATGCCACAGCAACGCGTGGCTGGGTACAGCTAGTAATAAATATTTTGCTTCTGTCCTTCTTCAAACATACAGATAGAAGGAAGAAAATATCGCAAGGGCACACCCATACTTGAAGAACAACAACAACAACAAAAACAAGTAGGAGGCAGCAAAAAGGGCGGAGAAGGGGTTGGAGAAAGGAGAAGAGGAGGAGGAAAAGAAAATAATGAAAAAAAAAGAAAAAGAAGAAGAAGAAGAAGAAAAAGAAGAAGAAGAAGAAGAAGAAGAAGAAGAAGAAGAAGAAGAAGAAGAAGAAGAAGAAGAAGAAGAAGAAGAAGAAGAAGAAGAAGAAAAAAAGACGCGATGAAGCATGGGAAAGAGGTTGGAGAAAGAAGAGGAAGAGGAGTTTATCATAGCCCTGTAAGAAGGGTATGGGACAGAGTAAATACGATACGACGATATGGGGAAAACCCATAATAACTTGAACACCGGTACTAACACGTTTTACCCGAAGTTGGACGGGAAAGGAAGGAGAGCGGTTGGAAATGGTCGTGTGAGGCTGAAGACATATAGAGACCTGATAGACTGTATTGTGCTAGGAGTTGAAAGATAGGGACTGTTAGCGTTGTCGTCATATGTGTTGGTTAGCTGTTGGTATTCCTTGTGTGGTTATAGTATGCTAAGACGGTTGTGTTAGTGTTGTGTCGTGCGTAAGTAGTTGTTCTTGCCTATGGGTTATTAGAGTTTAGCTGCGTTTGGTGCTGGCATTGACACTGCCCGCTAATACTTAAACTACTCACCCTGCGCGTGTCACTGAGTCTCGCATGGCGAGGACCGCAGCCTAGTTAGTGCTGTACGACAGTGAGGTGGAATCAATTCCTCTAGTACATCCATGGGAACAACTCGGGGTGGATGAGTAAATATAAACGCTGCCACTGCTGGCGTTTCGGAGTAAGGACTATCCATAACTGCTGAGGTTGTTATAGGCTGATAGTCTCTGTGTGCATTAAAGATTTTGTGTGTACTTAACAGGTGTGTGTTTTAAGTGTGTTCTAGTATAGTGTGTCTGTCACAGGGCCGTACAACGAGCTGTAGTTAAGTGGTATAGATACAGGGTCTTTGACAGAGACAAAAAAATGAAGAAGGAGTAGATGAAGTATAAATTAAAAAAAGGAAAAGACTGGATAGATTAAATAGAAATCGAACATGGTCTTACCTTTTTGTTACCCAGATTACTGGGTTACATGAATATTTATGAGCTTTTTACTCATTGTTGCAGGACTGGACAAAATATGTCATTTAAAAGCCTCTTCGTAACTTGCTGTGTCCTCTGTGCAATCGTGATGTTCATACTGTACCTTTCAAACGTCAACACAACGACACCAATGGCTGTTGCCTTCACATACGCAGGATTTGAATCTCCGAAATTATTATTGCCATCCACCAAAGACAACAGTACAACAAACGAATCATCATTTAACCACAATGATAGAGAATCGGCTTACTTTTTTGTCAAGAATAATTCAACGCGGCTTTTAACTTTAAAATCTGACAAAACCTTCAGCAATGAAACTCCAGAAGTATTTTCCACTACAACAAAGATGACCTTTAACACTTCCCTAGTTGTACAATGCAAAGAGTCGGCGTACGTACAATGTATTCCTCAAGAGGTGAAGATCTTACCCAAAAAGGTGTTTAATATTGTTTATTTAAGGCGCCCCGTATGGGTATCTGTGGGTAGTTACAATCTGGCATCGTGTCACATAAACCGGTGTGTATTGTCGGATGGACCTGTTACACACGAAACAGACATAGTGCTAGTCAACGGAGTGGGTCTTCGGGATAACTTTAAGCCGCCGAAGAGATGGCCAAACCAGACCTATATCCTTGCCAACTGGGAGCCGCCGATGCACATTCACTCGGATTTTTTGAACAGTAAGTGATATTTTAATTGGCTTTAAATTGCTGGATAGAAACAACTTCATATATTCTATCTGTCGTAATGGGGAAGACTTTTACAAACGTTATTGTTTCAACTACTACTAACACAACTACTACCACTACCAAAACCACCATCTACTACTACTACTACTACTACTACTACTACTACTACTACTACTACTACTACTACTACTACTACTACTACTACTACTACTACTACTACTACTACTACTACTACTACTACTACTACTACTACTACTACTAAACTTCTTCTACTACTACTCATACTAATACTACTACTACTACTACTACTACTACTACTACTACTTAACTTCTTCTACTACTACTCATACTACTACTACTACTTCTTCTACTACTATTACTACTACTACTACTACTACTACTACTACTACTACTACTACTACTACTACTACTACTACTACTACTACTACTAGTCCTAAAACAACAACTACTACTACTACTACCACTACTACTACAACTACTAATAATGTTACTACTTAAACTGCTACTGCTGCTGCTATTACTTCTTATACTACTACCACCACCACACTCACACTCACAGAGCATGTTGACAAAGGTGAAAATAGGCATGCTTCATGCATAGGGGCAAGTATCCATTCAGAGGTCTTGAGTTTTTAGCATCCTTTGAAGGTTTTCTCCAGGTTATGTTGGTGTGTTGAGAAATGAGCGGGCAGATAGACTGGTTAGCTCTGCACCACTTGGTCGTGAATCGATTTATGGCAAGTCAGATATTGTGTGGGCCTAATAGGAACGAATGAACAGTGCGGAGGCACAGATAGATCATTACGGTCTGAGGATGCTGGCGCTGCGAGGAGTTACCAGGGGATCTGGCCGACGCTCAACACTCAGGGGAAGGATTAGACGGATATAAAATCAGACGGTTACTGGTACCATCAGAATTAGAACTCTATGTTTGCTGCTGAAGATGGGGACTGAGCACTAGTGGGAGTGTCCCGAGTGCTATAATCTCGATTCTTTATTCAACATTCAACATACCACCACTACTGCTATTGCTACTGCTACAACTATTACTGCTGCTACTGCTACTACTAGTACTACTACTGATACTAAATCTACTAATTCTGCTACTGATACAGCTTCAGCTGCTACTACTACTACTACTTCTTCTTCTTCTTCTTCTTCTTCTTCTTCTTCTTCTTCTTCTTCTTCTTCTTCTTTCTTTTTCTTTCTTTTTCTTCTTCTTCTTCTTCTTCTTCTTCTTCTTCTTCTTCTTCTTCTTCTTCTTCTTCTTCTTCTTCTTCTTCTTCTTCTTCTTCTTCTTCTTTTTCGTCTTCTTCTTCTTCTTCTTCTTCTTCTTCTTCTTCTTCTTCTTCTTCTTCTTCTTCTTCTTCTTTTTCTTCTTCTTCTTCTTTTTCTTCTTCTTCTTCTTCTTCTTCTTTCTTCTTCTTCTTCTTCTTCTTCTTCTTCTTCTTCTTCTTCTTCTTCTTCTTCTTCTTCTTCTTCTTCTTCTTCTTCTTCTTCTTCTTCTTCTTCTTCTTCTTTCGCCTGAAATGAGTTGCCTATATCGGCAGTTTTGTCTTGTATAGATCTCACTGCTATATTTAATTCATTCACTTATTCAGCACAAGTAGAGTTTACGTTCCACTGTTTTGTTTTTTCTTTCTGGCTTAAATGCTTCCCCTAGTGTGTCATATTCGGTGCAGTCCTAGTATACGTGTTCCGCTGTCTGGGAAGACTTTCCACATTTGCACAGGGCTGATTTAACGTACATGAACTGTGTCTGCATGGTTGCGTAATCGGTCGTGCCCTTTCTGAGGGGCAGGATAATGATTTCTTCTGATCTGTTCCTGTTCCATAAGTGAGTATCTATTGTTAACAGCTTTGGCCTACTTGACTTTACACATTATACAAACATTTTGTATCAAACATATGTGTGACGTAAATAAGAATATATGTCTATTCGTCTATAAAGTTCCTTAGTCTCTCTTACCCTTGTCTACCTACCTTCACACGGTGAACGTTGTTGTCCTAGTTAACCACATAGAAGGTTAGAGTATCACCCCCCAGTGGGAAACATCTTCTTTTATCCCCCTGCTTATGCCGCACAGAGTTTCTTTAGTGTCTCTTTTCTCTCTCTCTCTCTCTCTCTCTCTCTCTCTCTCTCTCTCTCTCTCTCTCTCTCTCTCTCTCTCTCCACTCATCTCCTCTTTGGTCGACCTTCTGCCTTGTAGCCTGCCCTTCTTATATAGCACGCTCGAGCTGCTCTCTAATATTGTTCACGTTTTACCATTTTGTCGACCCATTTGATTCTTCGATGTTCCAAATGGTTTGGTCATCTCGATAGGACAGCAAACAAGGTGAAAGCGAAATCTGTTTCCGTCAGACATTTACTGAGATGAGTGCATGGTGCGACACAGTGAGCTGGTGATGTTACCTAGAATACTTTCTGTGTGTGTTGCCCGAGGTCTGTGTTGTGAAGTAAGTATTCTGAAAGTGGCTTCTGGCTGGTTGTCATCCAATTTCAGGTATGCCGTATGCAGTAATGCGTGTACACCTGCTAGTTTGTCGTGACTGCTGCTTATATCAGGTGTGAACTGCCCTTCTAGTCCCAGACTATTGCTGTTTTCAGCCGAAGTTAAATTATCACCATCAACGTCATAGCATATTGGGCATTTCATTGAGGGCTCAGTCCTCCGATGCAGAAGCCTCTCCAGAGAGCCGCTACTGACTAATACCATGAGGAAATGGATATAATGTTTCCTATCCCCACCTAGAGGGCTGCATGGACGTGCTTCACCATGCTTCACTCACATGTCATGCAATTGGGCTAATGTCAGAGATTTTCCATTGCTGGATTTTTCCAGGACTTCCTTCTTAATTTCCGTATGAGGCAATAATGGGTATTGTTGATGGTTTTCAGCTGCACGGCAAAAGAGCAATGATAGAGAAAGCCGGCAGCTGTTAAGTTGGCATCGCTACTGACGAAACCCGGACATTTCATAGACCACTCGGCTTTCCTTAGATGTTGTCAACATCATTCCGAGCTGGGTCGACCTGAAAAATCTTTCCCGAACATTCTTTGTTTAATTTTCATTCTCGCTCTTTGAGCTGTTATCTAGTTAGCATTACTAAGTAAAATCATGGCTCCGATAATGTCAATCTCCTTAACGCTTTAGGTCCCAGAAGATTCTAAAAAGATGAATGCAGAGAGTTAAAAAAAACAAACACACACGATGAAATGAATTCCATATATTGGCAGCAAGTGGCAACACAGGGGGAACTGTAGATTAACCTGTCTAGTTGGGTTTTCTATAGTTTAGGTTTTCTCTGGCCAAATGTTACAGATATACTTATGCACTATTTGGTGGTTGACACATACAAACAGTAACAGATCACATATTGTACGGTTCCTATGATAGACATTACTAAGGAACCCAAATTTTTGTTTAGAAACTGTTGCTTTCATTATTTTAAACCTTTCTTTTATTATCTTCTTGGGGATCATGGCCACATGGCTCATTAAACAACAACAGCAACAATAACAGCAACAACAACAATAACAACAAAGGCAAATGCAATATTTTGGCCATATTTAAAAACATAACACTCTTTTAAAACAAACATTGGAAGGTGAAGTTTAAAAGCCAGCAAAAGACAGACAGCGATATAAGGGGGAAGACAACATAAATAGGTGGGCAAGGGGCGATCTGAACAAAATTGTTGTATATTCAGAACACACCACTGATTGTATCGGAGATTCCCGGCAATTATATTTCTTTCTGAAGATGTCACCTGATTGGTTGAACACAGTTTCTTATTTCTCCCAAGATGAACAGTCTCCATGGAATGCTCGCATTGACCTTATCATGACCTACCGTCTGGATGCTGATATCTTTGTCCCATACTCTTATCTTGTGTTTAGACCAAAGCCACTGGAACAAAGACCGGATTACTGTAAGCTCTTGTTATTTGTATTTTTGTGTCTGTTGTATGCTGACAACACTGTAGTCCCCTCTAAAGGAACGGTGGGCCCAGTGATTAGAGTGATGTGTCCTCATGCGGTATTGCTTAGGTGCTACCATCGGTAAGGATGCGGATATTTTATAATCTGTCAGGAACCCAAGTGGATTTTGGTGACTATACTAGCCACGGTGTCCTGTCTACGTAACGATACGTTTTTTGGGGGTAAAAAGAAAAGATCAACTGTCCCCTAACAATCATGTTGTAAAAAGGCGACTAACTGGATTTGTAAACGGATGTGCACGTGATATTACCATTCCGGAATAAGACTAACATCCAGATGTTGACGAACAACCCGAAGTTTTCAGCTGGTGAGGAAGGATAGAAGACCAGTAATAAGGCCTTAAATCGAGGATAACTGGTTTAAAAACAGCATCTAGTCCTGAAAGATATTTGTGTATTTGTACCATGTAAAACGTCGTGGTGGTCTAAAGATAGAGGAAACACTTTCTGGAAGAAGAAGCAGAAGCCGACCTCCGCAAAGATATATGCAAGACATTGGCTGTGAAAGCACCTAGGGCCGTCTAAAAAAGAACTTGCTAATTAGTTTGGAAAACACTGGTAGAGACGACCCGGTCATGTCCGATGTGCAATGAAGATTGTCTGTAGAATCAAAAGGGAACAATGAAACAATCGAAAGTGACTATCATACGTTGTCTGGTAATAGTGCCTGAAAACTGTGAATTCAAGTTACATCATATAACCAGTAAGTGTTTGTGTTAATGTGCTTGTGTGTATAAGTGTGGATATGTGCTTGTTACTTGTGTTGTATTAATGTCATCACCGTGAGTGTGTTTTTTACATTAGAATCCACCCACAGACATGCACACATCGTATTTGTTTGTGTCCGCTTTGGTCTAAACACGTGAGAAACAAGAACCATCAGTGCCTCGTTATGAGCGAGACCATTGACTATTGAGTATGTCTCAAACGTTATCGAACATATTGTATAAGGGTAGGTCAAAAAGTAAGTCACACGTGGTTTAAAAAAAAAAGACAAAAACAATTTGAAAACCGTTTGTTTTTCACAATTACACTAGCCATTTATTTTTCAACATAATTTCAACCAACACTGATGCACCTGTCCCATCGTTTTATCAGTCCCCCGAAACCTGCTGCAAAGAACTGTGTGCTCTGTTTTCAAAACCCCATTTTCACTTCACAACAGCTTTTGCGTCCCTGACGAAATGTCTCTCGCCAAGGTGGGTTTTCAGTGGACCAGAAATGGGATCCCCTAAAAACAGCTGCTGAAGAGGCAACCGTTACTCGCTTGTCACCTCTATATATCTCCTTCACCCGCTGTAAGGTGCGTTTGTTGCAATCTCAACAGGACGTCCAGATCGGACTTTATCAACAATCGTGGAGCGTCCCTGAGAAACATTCTTTACCCAGCTATGCACCGCTTTGAGAGATAAACATTTGTCAGCATAAACAGGAAACCTTTCCTTATTATTGTCCTTTGCTGTCAGCACCACCACCCGCCGCCTCCCCCTCCCACCCCAAAAAAAAACCCACTACAACATCACGTTGTTATTTGAAGGTGCACTCCATAAGTACAGTCACTTTTTTATTTCTGTTTTGCGCATGCACATGCAACACCTAGCGTCACCTAACAAAGACGTTAAGTTCAATATTGCTGTCACCTAAAGACACCTTTATAAACAACCAACTACATTTTACTGCCACCCCATAACCATTTATGACTTACTTATTGACTTCCCCGCGTACTTTCTATCTCTGTGTTTTTCTGTATTCTCCTTCCCTCTCTATTTTCTCTCTATCTGTCTTGGCCTCTGCGGCCAAACATTCCCTTTCTTTTTCTAATAAATTTAGAGGTCCCAGATTCAAATCCCGGAAGATCACTCAATGTTAAATGTCTCTTTTACCGAGACTTAGCCAGTACTTCTCAGACACTGGCTAAGATCTAGAGGTAGACTTTACGAAACAGACGGAACAGATTTCTCTCTCAATCAACTACCGTACGTCTGCAAATGATAGTCATCGAGAGCTTCTTATTTATTGGCACAAAGACATAAACAACGAAAATAGGTCTGTCAGTTTCATATCAACGTTTCAGCCTGACAACTACGGTACCCATACAGAGTTCACGTGCTTCCACTGTGAGCATACAATCACAGCCATGACACAAACACGACGGGCACAACTACCAGTCAGCAGAATACATCTGTTGTCCTTCTCTCAGTTCTTCTTCTTCTTCTTCTTCTTCTTCGCGTTCACCAGCCGTACACTCTGGCGGAAAGTTCTGGCTGCTCGTCCACTACTGAACTGCAGTCCTGCTCCATAACCTGATTTTTGCGTGTGCATCAGTTTTACTGATCTCATTCTTTTGAATACAGACTGTTGGTTCCTTGCCTCTCCAGCAGATGCACTCCGACTTCAAAGGAAGCTCCCCAATTAGTCGACTCTTACGACATGCTTTTGGGGAGGCAGTGGGTCTATTCTTGTTTTCCCCACAATGGGGCCCCGGAACCCACACGGGAGCTTATCTCAGTTGTTCTTCATGTGACGATACGCTCGGTGACTTCAGAATGTCTTTCCTCAACGGACTTTTATTTCTATGTATTTTAAAGTATACAGAAATAATATGGTTTTGGATACATCCTTAATCTAAGTAAGGCGACCAGAACAAACATTTAATTCTCCTGGACTGTTGGTGATATCAAACACTAAAACCTTTCCCAGACGTTAAGTGTAGAGGTACAGAGATAAGACAGACCAAGCTTAGACTTACTGTCTGCAGATTTGCACACCATCTGTTGGTGTCAGATATTTATCTCCTAGCCAGACATTTAGGAGCAGATAACACAGGCTAATTGTGTTTATCTCCCCCTGAGGTTACCTAACTTGAAGGCAAGTCAGACGGTCACTAAAGACATGGTGAGCCGAAAGTGCTGGCAGTTAAATTGACATGGTCGAGTGGAGTGGTTAGCAAACAACTTGACAGGTGAAGTAGGCTGGTGGTGTGAATATATTTATTAGCTCTGGTCAGCTTGATTGAACCTGGAGAATGTGACCGTGGGAATTTAAACAAGTGTTGTACAGCCCTGACTGACAGCGAATAAACTTACCCACAGGGGAGGAGCTGTGACATCCTTAAATGAGAATGATTTTAGGCGTAATGTAGGAGGAGCTTAGAAAAAGTTATAAAAGTGTGAACTCTAGGTCTGGTAAATGAGACTCTGTCCAGCAAATGCCATCTGTTGGGCTTAACCTAAGCTTGAGACAGAACTTTTGGCATTGTGGTTTCATTTTCCAGGTAAGAACGAAATTAGTTTCAAAACCTTTTTTTTAATTTATGATAGAGATCTAACTGTCTTTTTACTCAAGTGTGTGTCTTCATCACTTTGTAGTACTCCTAGGCGGACATTTCTTCATTCTCTTAGGGCACTGTCACATTGCTTTATATCTTCTTTGATAGTGTCATGAATGTTTTTCGTGCACATGTGTTTCAATGTTGTAAAACTTAAATGTTGATGTTACCATTGAAATTTAATGAACTATCATGTTCTTGAAATCACAAGCGTGAAGATAACGTTGGCAGTCTTTTCACGTATGGTTAATTTGAATCTGTATTACATACAGCTAACACACTGAAATGTGTTTAACTCCAGGGAAGCTAATGCGGAGATTGATCCCGGAGAGTAAATCCCTGAGATTTCTTATTTGATTCGCCTCAGAAATATTGTTAGCTTTCTGGGTGCGTCCATTGTTCCAAGCATGGATTCCAGAACTTGTTCTGTCTGACTGATTGTCATTTGAGTCTGTACGAGATCTGGCATCTGACGTAGAAGACTTGACTATCATTACAGGACATGTGTAGAGGAAGGCAGAAGATGTAACAGCTGGAATGTGAGACATAAGCCCTCCCAAATTGGACAGGAGTGAATGTGAACATGAGGGAGAGATGAAATGTTTTATTTAAATAAACATGCTTGATGTTATTATAATATACATGCTTAGTGAACACCTAGAGCAGATACTACAGATATGCGCTTGTTTCTTTATCACAGTTCCCACATTGGGCAGGGACTAGTAGGCATCCATTCTTTGCCGATAGTCTGAGTGTAACGACCTGCTTGAAAGCAGTGAGGACGACAAACTGGAAAAGAATAGGCAGGGTCTCAAGCCGAGAACTGTCCAACGGTTGTTTCTTTCCAATATATAATTTCATTATCAACATCATCTCAACTCTACTAGCCTAAACAAGTTCATTTTATTTTTGGTTAGATTTATTCAATAAATCTGGATCATGTTTTTTATAAAATAGTTGAGTAAATTGTGTACTTAGGTTCAAGTGTCTTTGTGCATATTAGTTTACTTCAGCTAACAAATATTTAAATCACTTGATGGGGGCTTTTAAGTAATGCCAGGAGAGGAGAAAAGTCGGAGGGGTTAACTGTGTATCTGGATTATATCACAGTGGGTTTATCCTGATATCTATCTATCCCTTCTCCTTCTCCTGTGGATACAAGTACAGCAACTTTCATTTCATGGAACGAGCCACTCGCTGTTTTATTGGCTATCCAGGACTGTCTAGGATCAACATAGCTTAAATATTAGTCCAGTTTCTCACGTGGGTGGGCATTGTTAAGGTTCAAACCCACACGCTCACTATATCAGTGTATTTACCCACGTGGGCGTGCGACACTTCAGCGTGTTTCAATTGCAGACGAACCACGCCGTTCAGTCCTCAACGCTTGTAGATCCGCTTTCACTCCTCATTCTAAGTCCCCTTTAACTCCTTCTCGCTGTGGTGTCCTGTTACAGAATGACTCACTAGTCAGCTCTTTCCCTTACCTCGTGATCTCCAGTCAACTCACTCTCGTGTTTTGCCATTCTTAGATCAAATTCATATCTTCCAACCTGTAAATTTCCCCCTTCCTACCAACTATTTAAACCCATTATATTATTCCTATATTAGCATCACTACAAGTCTAGCTTGGTATACTATAGCATGTGTTGTACTGACAAATCGAACGTGTTCCTACAGATAAGATCGCCCAGAGCAAGACAAAGACAGCTGTGTGGATGGTTAGTAAATGTTCGACGCCTAACAGGAGACTGGAGTACGTCAAGGAGATGCAGGTAGGTTAGTCAAGTTAAGGTCACTATTCATTCCATCAGGGCAGGGAGAATATAATATTGTAAAACGTAACGGACACTTTACACGTAGGTTAGGCTTATGAGCTAGTCTCATATGTTGTCAGTCCTAGAAAATCCATGTTGATGACATGTTGCGACAGTAATGACTCCAGACTATTTGGTATACTATATATCCACGTATTGATTCTGTGAGTCATACTTTTTCCCGATCTAATTATGCTGTATTTTACTTGAAGCACGACTTTATAAAAAAGAGTCTTACGTCTAATCTTTAGACCCATTAAAGATGCAAACAACGGAAAATGGAGAATATAAAGCAACAACAAAATTCATAATCTGTTTAAACCACAATTGATCACCGGCATCATAAGGGACAACAGACATAAATGGCTAGAAAAATAGTGAGAGAATGTCAGATGACAGAGGTAAAAAAATGGTGTGTTCACAAGGGAGCTAAATAGTCGTAGATTACGTTGTAGACCAAGAACACGACGAAGTGCTAATGTCCAGACAGATCTGCAAACACTTAGTATCACCAACTCGAAAGAGACATCCAACAAGCGAGATGAAAGGAGGCGGGTGATTTCTGCAGCATGGAACCGTCAAGGCTAGGAATGAAGAAGAAGAAGAATAAGAAGAAGAAGAAGAAGAAGAAGAAGACGAAGAAGAAGAAGAATAAGAAGAAGAAGAAGAAGAAGAAGTAGAGGAAGAAGAAGAAGAAGAAGTTCATGAGTGGGGCATTTCGCTCGATGATTCAAACTTCACAAAGAGTTAAATAAAATTCATTTCAAGCCTAATTATAGGTCCGCAATTCTTCAAAATTACTCAGTTTGTGTTATTAAAAAATGTCTGTATGTTATATTTTTCAAATGAAAAGTTAATACTATTGATCGCTTTAACAGCTTTAAGAAAGTAATATGTGAAAAGTACATCGAATTTTAGTGGGCTGTTTTCAAAATATACGCTTTCAAAGTGTCACCTTTCTTGTGCTAAAGAGTACATTGGCATTGTAAAGAATGCAGTGTTAAATTTTTTGACACGGGACACGAACAGAGCAAGCACAGAGTGATCCGTTTGAGGTGAATGAAGCTGGAACTGTGATTATTTAACTAATAAACATTATAAATGAGACAATTATTGTTTATCTGTTCCTAAGGGAAATTTACAGAAATCGAAGTAATCAAGGCGGAGATACAGGTTTATTCACAAATCCTAATCGAATCTCTATATCTGTTTAGAGCTTTGACTTTCGACAGCTTGTTTGTTTGTAACCGTTCTTTCTATATTGGTTTTCAGCTGACTGCTTTAGTTCTTGGCTGTGACCTAGTCTTTTACATCAATACTTCTTTTATTTGTGACTGTTCTACATCCAGCTATTTATTGATACATGCTGCAGAAGATCGTAGATTGTAGAGAGGCATGATCGCCCACGTCAGCCGGCAAGGCACCTGATGATGATACAGACAGCCGAGGAAAAATAGTATAACAACACAGAGCTGGTGCTTTCAGTGGCACACTCTGGGCCGGGGGGGGAGGGGGGGGGGGGGGGGGGGGGAGGTATCCTGAAAAAGGGATCTGAGCCCTTATGGGCTTGCCCGATGCGCAGTTAGAATAATCTGTCGAATAACTAACGAACTTTATAAGCTGGATCTAGCCAAAATGTCAATTTTAAAGGAAAGAAAGGAAGCTAAGAAATTTTCGCTGCCGTGCTAGGATCGCTTTTACACGTCCAGTTCACTAGCAGTCATGCCAGTTGTTGCTCGTCATAAAACTATATACATCAACATCATGTTGAGAGGTAAAAAAAAAAAAAAAAACTAATATAATTACCAAAACCAATAGTCATTTAAATGTTCTTGTCCTTTATCACCCGTGTGGCTATGTCATCCACGGATTTATCTCTTTGTCTTTCCCATCCACGAGGCTATGTCATCCACCGATTTATCTCTTTGCCTTCCCCATCCACGAGGATATTTCATGCAGGAGCGAATCTCTTTGCCAACCTCATCCATGTCGCTGTGTCATCCAGAGATGTATCTCTTAGCCTTCCCCATCCACGTAGGTATGTATTCCAGGGATGAATCTTTTTGCTCTCACCATCGAAATGGCTGTCATCCAAGAGCTAAAATCTTTGCCTACCTCATCCTCGTGGTTATGTCATCCAGGGATGTATCTCTTTGCCTTCCCTATTGTTGGTCAATCTGACCATATGTCACTAAATTCTCGCAGGCAATCGTTTTGAAAAACCTGTCAAAACCAAATAATTACTACATGTGCAGAGTAAAGATTTTAGATGCTAAACATATTTTTCTTTTAAATTCTCCAGAAATACATTGACGTTGATATATTTGGAGCATGCGGAAATCCCTGCCCTAGGTCCAGCTCCAACTGCAACAACTGGACGACCACATATAAATTCTACCTCTCCTTCGAGAACTCGCATTGCAAGGATTATGTCACCGAGAAATTCTTCAAGTTATTTCAGCAAAACGTCCATGTGATTCCTGTTGTGAGAGGCGGTGCTGATTACCACACACACTTTCCCAATGGTACCTTTATCAACACTGCTCACTTCAAAACGGCCAAAGATTTAGCTCTTCATTTGAAACATTTGGCTTCTGATCTAGAGACATACAGCAAGTACTTGGAATATAAGGACCTATACGTACATACTGAATCTATCGATCACTTATGTCAATTCTGCTCCTTTTTGCACATTCATAAGTTACCCTCTTCGAAAGCGTACAATTTGAAAAGATGGATTGATGATAATCATTGTTACAATCCTACAGATATATAACTGGATAATTATTTTCTTTTCTTTATTTGTTGAAGATGTATTAACGAAACGGCGTATGAAAAGGTCCATGCTAGAAGGGCAGCATGTACACTTCTCAACCTCTTCCCAGACAAAATGGCAAGCCAGCACATATTACAGACAGCGAAACGATTGTCAAGTCAAACCAGACAGACACGACTTCCGGTCTAAAATAGACAACTAGGTACGGAAGAATTGTAGGCTTCTAAGTTTTTATGTGCTTCCGACAACACTCTGCTAATGGAGGTTTCACATACAGACGGTTGTCTACGGTTTCACTGCCTACGCAAATGAGTTTAGTGCTTGCGCAGCCCTTTGAGCTGTTTCTTTCATGTGAAATGCCTTTCATGTGTGCAGCAGTTAAGTCATTGTATTCAGTATGGCCGGTTGCCGGTGTGTGTGTAAATACGTTATGTGATATTTCTATGTGAGTATAGCCAATGCGTAGGGAAGTTACATTATTACACAGCGTCTGACATTGAAGGACGTATGCAGTGAGAAGAGAAGAAATGGGGTGGAAAGGAGGCGAGTGCAAGATCATCTTGGGATTATTTATGAACACAGACTGCACGGAAGTAGTCCAGTTCAGCGGTGGAAGCATTTAAGATTGGCTTTGAAAGTCTTGTCAGCTACATAGGCAGTGGTCACGGATGTATAGAAGAGACGCAAATTTATTATTGAGTAGAACTACAGTTATAACACTAGAAATATAGATTAGAACCGGAGGTAAATATATTATTCTTTCCGTTAGATGAAGCTAGGTCAACTGACCAGAGATGAGAAGGAACAAGCTGACGAATGGCAAAGATGTTACAGATTACCCACGATTTCAGGAGAAAGGATATAACAAGAAATGAGACAGTGCCAAGGGACAGAGGGAGGAGAAGAAAAACAGCCATATGACCAGAGAGGACCAGGGTGTTACGCCTAGAGGTCGAGGAGAAGAACTGGAACTTGTGAATATAAAAGTTTCACAAAATAGAAAGCAAATATCATTCTTTTTAGGAGTAACTAAAAGAGAACATAGCATAAACTTCGTTAGAAAAAAAGATATTTGGACTTCGTGTTAGAAGAGATGTTTACAAACATTTGATAACAGTCAATAGCCCGTTAGAGTACGAAACATACTTTACAGCAACTTATACTGAAGTGTTTGATACCAGTGTGTTAAATAAAGCTGTCATCGCATATGAATTAGCGTTGTGTTTTATAATAAACAAACTTGATTTCATAAGAGTTCTTTTTTTCAGTTATGAGTTAGTAGTTATATTATTTTCACAGCACTCCGGACACAATCATAGGCGCTCAGATTCCCCTATCAACATATTCATCAGCGTCGTGCGGTTAATAGTACCATTCCTATGTTGGTTAACAAGACTTCGTATGTGTCCAGTGTGCTTCTCATGCTTGGCTGTGCCGATCTTTACTCCCAATTCGCGTATTCTTAGAAGTGATGTGGACAATTTGCTTCCGAAATCCTCAGAACGTCCTATCTCTCTAAGGGCAATGACAATGTCTGCGCGATCCATGGGCCGGCCATCTTCAATTAATGCAGTGCCTGCCAGTCTATCGGCTATCTCATTACCAACAACGCCTGCATGCCCTGGGACGAATATGAAAGTAACTGCACACACAGGAGAATTTCGCAGTGACTCAAGCCAATGTCTGCGTAACGAGCCTACCTGGACCCGCCGGATCATACTCAAAGAATCACTTAGCACACACACACGCAATTTCAGATCACTGGTCTTGTTGTTAAACGCAATAGACATACACAGCCTATCTTATTACCTGGTTCCGCTAGGCATGTTTACGCTGGGGAGCATGGAAAACTAGATAGTGTCACAAGATGATGCAAATATTTGGTACCGTGACCAGGATAGTCTTGTCTAAGTCGAAACATAAGAAAGCAAGACTGGTAAACCAGAACAACAAGCCAAGTACGAAAGTGTAACAAGTCTTCAACTAAATCATCGTTTGAAACTCCCACCAAAATGACAAAAACAAAAAGCTGACATGTATTTCAGTGAAATCGAGAAGCAAAAAGTGGACAAGCTGCACTGTCTAAGACGGGATCCGAGTAGAAGTAGCTCAATTCTACGCTGCAACTTGTACCGTCTACACTAGAATTAGGGAGTCACTGTGGTGAAGCTGGTAAACGCTCGCCTGCAGATCGAATGGCATGAGTTCACTCCCTGGCGAAGCCTAACTTGTTTTAAAAATGAGCTTGGCTCCCAGGTCCACCCAGCCTTGAGTGGGTCTCGGGTGCAGTCCGGGGAAGTAAAGGCACCCAACGTAATGCTGACCATATCAAGCAACTTGTGTGGATTGATCTATAAAATAAAGGTGTAGTCCTACATGCCGTATGAGCCTAAACACCTGGAAAAGGGTCCTTTACTTTTACACTAGAATCCGAGCGGCTAGCTCCAGTCTAGCCTAAATATACTTTTACAAATCCAAAGACTGAATGAATTTAGAAGACAGGGTGAAAGTTAGAATCTTTCTCAATATCGGAACAATAGAGAATCTACACATTTAATAGGAAAAATCAAAAATAGTCCATCCTAAGAACTTCAATATCAAATATCCTGTTTTACTTCTAGTAGTACAGGGAATACATCTTAAAACCATTAGTACCGGAACAATAGATAAGGCTCACAGCTAATAAGAAAGAAAGTGAAAGAGAGAGAGAGAGAGAGAGAGAGAGAGAGAGAGAGAGAGAGAGAGAGAAAGATATAGAGAGACAGAGAGAGAGAGAGAGAGAGAGAGAGAAAGAGCGATAGAGAGAACCAGTGCGACTCTGAGAACTGTAATATAATATTATATACTAAACTGGATAGTTAGTTGATTTAATGCTTAACTAGATGGTTGGTTGATTGAACGTCTAATTGGACAGTTGGGTGATTGGATGCTTAACTGGATGGTTGTTTCATTGATTGAATAAACAACCAGAGGAGTGTTTGGTTGATTGGATGCTTAACTGGATGATTGGTTGATTGGATGCTTCACTTGATGGTTCTTTGGTCGATCGGATACCTAACTGGTTGGTTGATTGAATACTTAACTGGATTGTTGATTGATTGTTAACAGAAATCTGAATGACAGAAATTCATATTCAAAGAGTCATTTATTTAGCACTAATTTTGTCTTTCATACGGCCCTTCCAAACACTCATCGAATGTTGTTTCCGTCCCCATGTGGACAGCATTTTTGTTGTTGTTGTCATTTTGAAGCCCCTTCCTGGCTCTTGCATTAATATAATCCGACCCATGGGTTGAACTGGGTTTCCGGGACCCCTCCACGGGTGATCCTCATCCGAATTGTGGCACTGTGTGTCACCGGATTTTTATCGCTTGGTTTGATATTCTAGTGGGGTAAAACATCAATCAATCAACTCATCTGTAACACAGGAATGATATTTTATGTATGCATAGTAAGTTCAAATTGCTATAAGCATTTTTTAATATGACGTGGATAAAAAATTTACTGGATTCAAAAACATATATGATAAAACTTATAAACATTGGATTGAATGGTGTAGCGGCTAGACGCTCGTTTGTGGATCGGAATGTTGTGGGTTTGAGTCCTGACAGAACCGGCTTTTTGTTTTCAGAAATGGCTTTGCCTTCCAGGTCGACCACGCCTTGAACGAACGAAAGAGCGAACTTTTTTTAAAGGGTCACAAATTGGGTACGCAGGTCTGTCTTCTTTTTGTCCCTTCCAAACATCCGTCTTTCACACTGCAGCTGTATTTTATCAATAAGAATGTCAATTTAATTTGATAATGTGCATATTATGAATATCAATAAAACCAAACATACAAATGCTAGGGTGGTAAAATGCAGGCTCACGCTAGCGCATGCGCGCGCAAACACACACACACATACACTCTCATTCACTCACTTAAACAGGCATTATTACACACCAACATTCACCCACATACCTTCACACACACACACACAAACACACTCTTATTCATCCACATACATACCTACCCACACAGACACGTACATTTCACACACATACATACATTCAGATACACACATGCACACACAGACACACCCGAAGAAACACATGCAGATACACACAAACATATATATATATATGTATACGCACAGACCGAAACATGCACATAATGATACACACACACACAGTGTACGAACACACACAGACACACACAGATACACGCGCACAGACCACTTGTGCAGACACACAACACTTACCCAATTGCAGACACACACTCTCAAACACGCTGATGCTCACGCAGACACATGCACACACAACCACAGACACACACGCAGACGCACACATTCATACACACAGGCACGCATACATATACACACATGTAGATACACCCAGAGACAATACACACAGAGACACACACATACATATACACACAGACACACACAGAGGGCATATACATATATATATATATATATATATATATATATATATATATATATATATATATATATATATACAGAGAGAGAGAGACGCGCGCATATATACAGGCATTCACGCAGACACACATATACACACAAACCCATACAAACACACACAAACACAACAAAGACACACACACAGCCACATACACGTAGAAAACACAGACACGCAAACAAATTTACAGACATGTGCAAACACATACACAGATACACACGCAGACGCACAGGCTGATGGAAAAAAAAGTTTTTAGTAAGACATTGATTGAATATAAACTTAAAGGAATA